AAACACATAAGGCCCCGATAGGTTGGGCGTGGTATTGAACCGGACGACAACAAAGCCGCCTACCACGACACCCCCTGAATATCATGTCATCATACAGCTCACTCAAGGTTAGTCATACGAAAGACCAGTCTCATCATCGTGGGGCTCAAGAATAATTCATAGAACAATCTCAAACTCTCTGTTCATCCAAATTTGTGTGCGAACGTATTACTGGATTGACTTTCTGAAAGTAGTTGAAATCAGGTGCAGCAGTAGCAGGTTATCTTCTTCTTTTTTCTTCTTTTTTCAGTGTAACTGTCCCACATCGAACTACCATCTCTCTCCGGGGACTTGCTGGTAGACTGAAACCCTATTACAACTAAATTGCGACTTTACACTCCCGATGAAGGAAAATTTATCCAATCGGAATTCTGTCGACTTCTTGAGGATGGCATGATTAAAACTTTAACCTTACCGTGGCTTGCACAAGTCCGCAAATTAACGGCACGAAAGGTGAACGGCAGTTGACTACAGTCAAATTATTAATTGCAACATCCTGTTGGACACAACTATTGACACGAACGCATGAAATGGTGTTTAAAATATCATGTCTCCAGTACCTTGGAGTCACGAAATGCATACAGAAAAGGGTCGACCGTTCACTGTCTTGGAAGCCCGCAGTAAGTTATGTTAATTCTGTCGAACACCGTTTAGAGTGATTAACGGCGTTGTTTGCTTCCAGCGAGTGACCGATAAACTCATTCGAGAGGAAAATATGTCAGGTACCTTCGCTCATACTAACAACATTACTGTGTGCACAATGATCACAATATAAATCTAAATATTTTTTTGAATACCATAACGATTAAGTCACCATTACAATAGTTTTACACCATCATCATCAGCATCATTGTCCAGCAAGGCAGTGTGAAGCGAACTTCGTTGATCGCTGCCAAGCTCACAATGTACACAAGTTAAGTCATAAAGCACAAGATGGAAAGGGATGGGGTCTAATTAGAATGCTGGAAAGTGAACCTCTGTGGTCAACACAGAGAGTACACAATTTAACTGGGCGTACATACCTTTTCAAGCATTCTGACCTGATAAGAAATGGCAACAAGAACGTCACTGCTGTCAGTCCGCTGCCATATTCTTCACTGTTTCCAACCAACCAGTTGTATAGTCTTTTGCAACACAACCTGGAAGGTGGGAGACAACTATACTACCTAATCGCTCTGTGCATTTCGATTCATGTCTCGCTTCCACATCATCTGTTGACCTCCACGTGGAACAAATCACACTGCGGACGTGGTCGAGGATTATCGCCCCCTGTATAAAGTTCGTGGGCGACCATCGAGGTAGGTTTGTTATCGAATGCTGTCCACAGCAGAAGCACAACTCCCTCCCCTCGGTGTGTTCCAAAACAAGTTGTACATGCGCTAAAGCCTCCCTGGTCAACTCCCTACAGACACACCGTATCACGAGTAGTCTCGATGGTCGGATGAGTGGACAGACAATTATGTGGTCGTGGTGAATTTGATTTCCGGTCTTATGATGAAAGCGTGTCTAGTAATCTGTGATGTGATTTTATGTATTTTCCCAGGAGAATTTTATTCCCAAGTAGTGGTATATACTGAGGCGCATTATCTGTACTAAAGAAGTAAAACTTCTGGGCTACAAATTTTTACGCGGCTTGATACAATCAGATCAGGGACGATTGACACCACGCCGAGAACTTCCGTCGCCCAAAGACCTCAAACAGCAACGACGGGTAGTGTGTTTATTCTCGCATTATTCTCGCAATACAATATTCTCGCATTGCTCCCAATAGATACCTATGTTATCGGATAATATACACTCCTTGGTATATGATTATATATTTCCCTGTCGGAGGGTATCAGAGTGTCCCTCAAAGCACTCACAAGCCAACTGGCACAAACAGTCATTACCAAACACCACTGGTCCTTGAAACAGATGTCTCGTACATAGCTATCTCGGCCATCCCGCCGCTCCCCGCTGCTAGGAACGTTAGGCCGGCTTTCTGCTCCCGAATGTCATCTTAAAGCGAAAGGCATCATTCCTCGGTAAATAAAAAAATCAATAACATCGTCAAGGTCATCCGGAAGAGGAGACTAGATTGGTTTGGTACGCACGTAAGACTGATTGCAAGGCAAGAATCGGTTGCTTTTAGGTTCCATTCCA